ATTCCCAGATGTACCTTCAGTCCTGACGGATCAGAGTAATTCCAGTAACTGATGATTGCCATTGCTGAGGTCCTCCAGAACCTCAGAAAGGAATACATTTTATTTTTAAAAATATATATTTTATTGATTTTTTTTTTTTTTTTTTTTACAGAGAGGAAGAGAGAGGGATAGAGTTAGAAACATCAATCAGCTGCCTCTTGCACACACACACACACACACACACACACACACACTGGGGATGTGTTCGCAACCAAGGTACATGCCCTTGATCGGAATCGAATCCGGGACCTTTCAGTCCGTAGGCTGACGCTCTATCCACTGAGCCAAACCAGTTTTGGCAGGAATACATTTTATATCATACCTTGGTATATAGTTACATCTACATGAGACAAGGCTTTGTGAATCTATACTTCGATGCACTCTAATATTTTCTGTTTCACTTCTGAAAATTGTCAGTTTTGATTCATCAGTGGGTTAAGAACCGACAGTTGAAAAATGCTGCTGTTTGACACACTTCATTTAGTATTAACAGTGCACACTGTCATAAAATCATTAGCGTTTTCATATGTTCCTTGGAACTTCAAAGCTCAGTAGAGTCAAGTTCCATGACAGGCGCCTCTGTAGTTTCTTAGTTGTGTGGCCTTGGAAGAGATGTTTAGCTTTTCAGCCTCAGTTGTGTCCCCTGTACAATGGAGCTCGTAAGGCCCACACGCCTTTCATCAGCTTCTCAAAAAGGATGAAACTCGATGGTGAAGTGCTTTTGAGCCCCGTGGCCAAATGAAAGCTCTCAATAAGTGGTTCATATTTTTATTAGCCAGGAATTCCTGAACTTCCGTGTTTGGGCCTCAAAGGAATCGGCATGGGCTTCAACAAGTATGTTGTTCCCTCGTACCTTCTTTAGTTCTTTTTTTTAAAATATATTTTTATTGATTTTTTACAGAGAGGAAGAGAGAGGGATAGAGAGTTAAAAACATCAATGAGAGAGAAACATCGGTCAGCTGCCTCCTACACACCTACCACTGGGGATGTGCCCACAACCAATGTACATGCCCTTGACCGGAATCGAACTTGGGACCCTTCAGTCCACAGGTCTATGCCCTATCCATGAACCAAACCGGTCTTGGCCCTTCTTTAGTTTTTCTTACTTGTTTTTGTTTGTTTGTTTGTTTTTGTTTTTTATGGAAGTGACCTTTGGGAAGGCCCAATCGTTGGCACTAGCGCTCAGTAAAAAGCACTCATTTTGCCAACAGTTGTCGGTGGTGGCATTGGCAAGAGCGCTCCTAGGAAACATGGGGAATCTTGGCAGGGTTAGTGGTGTTTGCTGTTGGCGTCTGCCTTGGCATCATCCTAGGCGAGAGAGGGATGCCTGGGGTTTCTCTTTGATTCCTCTCCTTCGCACGGAATTCTGGCGAAACTGCATCTGACTGGGAGGTGGGCAGGAGGATCCCAGAGGGCCTCATTATGGAGGAGTTCACCACTTTGAAATCCCCTCTCCTGAGGAATTCTTCTGCACCATTTGGATTTCCTCCTTTTTTTTTTTTTCATCTGAGCAACGTTGGCTGCTGGTAGAAATAATTAAACAGAAAGTGTTCTGATATTTCTGGCACAATTAACATTATTTTTACTCTTCTTTTTTTTTAAAAAAAATATTTTATTGATTTTTTTTATAAAGAGGAAGAGAGAGAGACAGAGAGTTAGAAACATTGATGAGAGAGAATCAGCTGCCTCTTGCACACCCGCTACTAGGGATGTGCCCACAACCAATGTACATGCCCTTGACTGGAATCGAACCTGGGACCTTTCTGTCTGCAAGCCAATGCTCTATCCACTGAGTCAAACCAGTTTCGGCTACTCTTCTTAATTTAATAGAATCCTAGGATTTTATTGCTGGGAGAGCCCTTAGGAGGTCAATGCAACTCTACCACTGGATAGGTGGGGTCCTCTTTCCGAGCGGGAGCCAGCGCTCCTGCCCGGGGAACCAGAGACCTGGAGACCTGTTAGCCATAGGCAAAGGAAGAAGAATGTTCCTAAGTCTCTCTGCGGACCTGACTGCATGCATCCCTTCCTTACCCAGGAGTGCAGCCCACGAGAGTTCTCCGTGGCTTAACACCATAAAGCTGTATCTGCTGCTCATGTACCATGTTCGATCCGAGGCAGGCTCTTCTCCATGCAGACACTCAGGGGCTTGGGCCGCATCTTGTCGCCATTTAGGACACACACCTCCCAGTTGCTATGGTGGGGGATCCATGCTTACTCCTCTGAGCTTCTGCCGTTTTGCTCAGGGCTCACCTGTCAGAACTGGTCATGGAACCTTCTTGATCGCTAAGGGGCTGGAACTGTGGAGGCCAGGGGGCACCTATGGTGTATTTGATGACCGTTTCCTGGGAAAGGGATAATATAGTACTATATATGTTAAAACTGTAGATTGGGGGGGGGGGGGATGTAGCTTCTTATTCTCCACATCTATTAAGTTTGACCACTCTCCCAGTTTTCTAAGCCTCCAGGTTCACAGAGGCTTTTCCTGATTGTCTGGTGGGGACAGGGGAGCGGCTGCCAACCGCAGGGTGAAGGGGTCCGGGAGCAGAGCGGCAGAGAAGAGGAACCGTGGGGGCAGCTATGCCTTCATCCGCTGACATCGTGTGTTTACTTTGTGTGGTCGGTTGAAAAATGCCCCTCCTCGGCCCCCCAAGATAGCAGGTCCTAATCCCTGGAACGAGTGGATGTTCCTGTACATACTGTACACGGCAGAAGGGCTTGTGCAGATGGGATTACATTAAGGATCTTGAGATGGTGGGGTTATGTTGGGTTATTGGTCTGGAAATGCTGTCACAACTTCAGAAGAGGAAGGGACATGTGACACAGTGACAGAGAGGAGGACGCAGTGGAACCGCCGAGGCAGAGACTGAAATGCGATGGCTGTAAACCAAGGGATGCCGACAGCCAGTAGAAGCTGGAAGAGGCAAGGAGTGGACTCTCTCCGACAGCCCCGAAGGGCGTGTGGCCCTCCTAACACCTGATTTTGGCCTCGTGGTATTGATTTTGCACGTCTGGGCTCTAGAACGAGGGGGAAGTAATTTTCTGTTGTTTTATGCCACCAAGTTTATGGTAATTTTTTTAAAAATATATTTTTTTATTGATTTCAGAGAGGAAAGGAGAGGGAGAGATAGAAACGTTAATGAGAATCATTGATCAGTTGCCTCCTGCACGCCACACACCAGGACTCAATCCTGGGAACCGAACCGTGACGTCCTGATTCATAGATCAATGCTTATTCACTGAGCCACGCTTGCTGGGCTTTGGTAATTTTTTATAGCCTCCATAGGAGGCATGTACTTGGGTTTCCAGTTTCTTTTTTTAAAATATATATATATATTTTGATTTTTTACAGAGAGTAAGGGAGAGGGAGAGAGAGAGATAGAAATATCAATGAGAGTGGAACATCAATCAGCTGCTTCCTGCACACCTCCAACTAGGGATGTGCCTGCAACCAAGGTACATGCCCTTGACCAGAATTGAACCTGGGACCCTTGAGTCCTCAGGCCAATGCTGAGCCAAACCAGTTAGGACGGGTTCCCAGCTTCTTGGTAATCAGTGGCTATTTGCTGTTATAACCAGTGCCCGGAGGACTTGGTCGCTGGAGTGAAGACTGGGGAACAATGGTTGGGGAATGGGGTGGGAGTGAGAATTTTCTTTATATCCCCCATTTTTTACCTTTTAAATTTGAACTATGTGAATGTGCTACCTATTCAAAGAATAAATAAAAGTAATCTTTACAGCCCTGTGAATCCTACAGTAGGAGAATATGATTAATTTCGTGTGTCTATTCCCCTGAGTAACACCCAGGACAGCTTGTGCTCTGTGACCTGCATTTGGAGGAATTCTTCCCAAAAATGTTGCCCCATGGACCTTACCCTCTTGCCTACTCCAGTGTCTTCTTTCCATTGTACTTCCGATGTTTGGGTCTAGGTCAGTGGTGGTAAAAGAGTTACCGTATGTGAAGAAAAATGAATGATGGTATAATAATGATAACTTTTAATTTGAATCTAAAAAATGCGATTTAATTAAAAATTACCTCTGAATTACCTGTCCTTGTGGATCTAGGCTTCCTGACCGGTGTGCTGAGATTTCCTTTTCTCAGCCTTGGAGACTGTGGTCAGGGGCGAGAGTGGCCAGAGCCCCCCCCCCCCCAGGCTGGTGGCTTCCGGCTTCCAGACGAGAACCCCTCCAGGCCGACACGTTGTGTAAATACTATTATCTTCGGTGCAGTGTGTGCAGTGATGTGGAAAGGTTGGGAGATGCTGCTCTGGCTAAGATGCGGCCTTGTATTTTTAAAATGTCTGTTGCATAAAATAGCCATAAACAAACAAACCAGCCAGTTGGGTCTTTGGGAAAACTCCGCTGATGGTTTGGCTCCTCAGCCTTTCCCCGCTGTGACACTCGGGATGGATGGAGTCTCCGTGCTGGGGAGGCGGCTGGCACTCCTTTCCCTGCAAAGCCCCCGGAGCAGGCTCAGCTTGAGTGTCTCCCACACAAAGCCAGAAAAGGAGGCAGAGTCACATTGTAGGAGACGATCTTGGCGTTCCCTCTAATGTACCGAGAAATACACGATCGAAAACGTGGGTATGCCTGCTCCGTGGGGGGCAGAGTCCTCTGACCTCGCTCATAACCGACGTCCCGTTTCGCATTGTGGCTCGCCGAGTCCAAGCTCCCTTTCAATTCGCCAAGTAGGAGATGTTAAGTATTAGTGACAAGCGAAAAAAAACAGTGCAATGCAGTATGTAAATAAGAGCGTCATCAGGTTCAGTTGTCACTTGCACGGTAATATTTGTTGTTCTGTTACGTCCTGGTGGGTCTGATAGTGTTGGTGATGCCGTCCTTCATGTCTTCTGGAATAAGTTAAGTGAATTAACATGTCAGTGTAGTACTATCTGAAGAACTCAGAAGAGCTATTACAACGCTTAAAAATAAAGTGATCAATTCTCCTTTTGTTCTCTTGACAGGATAATTGAAGCCATCTGCATAGGGTGGTTCACTGCAGAGTGCATCGTGAGGTTCATCATTTCCAAAAACAAGTGTGAGTTTGTCAAGAGACCCCTGAACATCATTGACTTGCTGGCAATCACGCCGTATTACATCTCCGTGCTGATGACCGTGTTTACGGGCGAGAACTCTCAGCTCCAGAGGGCCGGAGTCACCTTGAGGGTGCTTAGAATGATGAGGATTTTTTGGGTGATTAAGCTTGCCCGTCACTTCATTGGTCTTCAGACACTCGGTTTGACTCTCAAACGATGTTACCGAGAGATGGTTATGCTACTTGTCTTCATTTGTGTTGCCATGGCAATCTTCAGCGCACTTTCTCAGCTTCTTGAACATGGGTTGGACCTGGAAGCATCCAACAAGGACTTCGCCAGCATCCCTGCTGCCTGCTGGTGGGTGATTATCTCTATGACTACAGTTGGCTATGGAGATATGTATCCTATCACAATGCCTGGAAGAATCCTTGGAGGAGTTTGTGTTGTCAGCGGGATTGTTCTGTTGGCATTGCCTATCACTTTCATCTACCATAGCTTTGTGCAGTGTTATCATGAGCTCAAATTTAGATCAGCTAGATATAGTAGGAGCCTCTCCACTGAATTCCTAAATTAATGCATTGCACACCGAGTCTTGCATACACCTCGTTTGTTAGGAAGACTTAATGCTGCTTCGTATTCATGTGTTCCTTGCTCGGTGAGCACACTGTAGTGGGGTACTGTCGTCATCTTGGTAGGGTAAACATTATCCTTCCCAGATGAAGGGATAAAGCAATTTACTTATTATGGAGTAAACAAGATTGAGACTGCAAAGGAAAAAGTAATGATTTCTAGACTTAATTTTAATATCTAATTTTATTGAAACTTGTTTCCTCCTCCTTGCTTGAACAATGACACACTTTTTTGTTTTGTTTTGAAGTGTATTATTTGAACATTTTAAAATGAAAAGCTACTATTTTCCAAATGTTTTTCTATCTTATGAATTTGGACGAGTTTTGGGAGTTATGGTGTTTTTTTGTTGGAGAGTAACATTTTCGTTTCTAAATGTTGTATAATCTCTCATATCAATGTCAGAAGTATCCTGGAAACATATGTCACATGCAAGAACTGTTTAACAAATACTTTTTAAAAAATTGGCTGAATTTAAACTGTACAATGGAGCTAGATACAAGCAAGAATAGTATTTGGAAAACTTTTTCCAGCATTTCTCAAATCTTGGATTTATTTTTGTTCCTAGTATTCACTTTATTCATGCAGCTTCATAGAAGCTTGAGTATGTCCTTACTTTTTCTTTTACCTCTTTGCTGAAATGACTAAACAAGAATTTTGAATGAAGAGAGCTTGTATTATTTAGTATTTTATTGGAGTTCATTGTATTTGAATTCATTGCTGTTACTAGGTGATAATTGTCCTAACATTCAGATGTCCAAACAAGATTTCCACATCAGAAATAATAGAAGTGGTTTGATATTACAACCCATATTTTTCTTCTGCTTTTTTTCCCCCCTCACCTAAACAACATGGGTTTAAGTCTTGTCAGGTGAAAGGATATTTATATATACCAAAGTCATACATAGATGTTATCACTGGATTAACATAAAAAAATAAATGAAATATTTTCTTACTCTTGGTTGCTGCGTAGCTAAGCATTTTAAGCCAGCTGAGAGCAATGAATACATACTCGTTTGATCTGATCTTCACCATCATAAATAACGGCCACACCAAAGCTTCTTGCAATAAATACTGAATAATATGCCACATTAATTTGGCAGATTATTAGGCCTAGATGTAAAACTGATGACTATGTAGTGCTAAACTCTAGCAAAGTGAGTTAATACTTTTGCTTTGTTAACTAGCTGCCATTAAAAAAGTCAGTGTATTTACACAAAAGTTAAAGTCATTGATTATTGAATAATTTAATGTACACTGTAATTAAATCAGGGTGAGGGCAGGGAGAGGGTGGGACCTTGATACATTTATCAAAGAAAGGATCACCAGAAGTGTTCATTAAAGGGATATTAGCCATCATCTGGTGTAGGTAGAAAACCAGGGCAAGAGAAGATATGACTGTGAAGGAGTGAGGGCTAACATCTGGATCTCTAGAAATCGAGTCCAGCAGCTTATTTTTAACACATTCTGGGTTTTGAGAAGACACACTTCTTTGCCAGTGCCATTACTGAGGTAATAATAGCAAAACTGTTCCTTTTTCCCTATTTCTTTTCCTGAGTTTATGTGATATTTTGGCCATTAAGAAGCTCACCCCACCCAGCCCTAACCTGTTTGGCTCAGTGGATAGAATGTCAGCCTGTGGACTTAAGGGCCCCAGGTTCTATTCTTGCTAAGAGCACATGCCCAGGTTTCGGGCTCCATCCGCCCTCCCTCAGCCCCGAGTAGGGGGTGAACAGGAGGCAGCCAATCAATGATTCTTTCTCATCATTGATGTTTCTATCTCTCTCCCTTCCTCTCTGAAATCAATGAAAAAAAATATACTTTAAGGATCTCACCCCACCCAGACAGTATGGCTCAGTGGTTGAGCATCAACCTATGAACCAGAAGGTCAAGGTGTGAATCCCAGTCAGGGCACACGTCCAGGTTTTGGGCTCGATCTCCAGTAGGGGGAGTACAAGAGGCAGATGATCAATGATTCTCATCATTGATTTTTCTATCTTTCTCCCTCTCTTCCTCTCTGAAGTCAATAAAAATACATTTTAAAAAAAGAGAATCTCAACCCATCTTCCCTACTACTAGTAGTATGCTATTTGTCGCTACTCAAAATAAATTCCGTTCGTTATTGTACATTTATTGTATTTTAATATATCTGAAATACATGGCATGGGTTTATTTTTCCGTACCTATTTGGATTAAGGCTTTGTGAGTCATACAAATAACATGCAGGTGACAGCATTCCTAATTAAGATATGATAGCCATCCATTCTGCTGGCGCAGGGAACTCTGGGAATACTATGTCTTATCTTCCCCACATTAAATTAGAGGTGTCTTGAGGACTGGGATCCTCCTCCTTGCACATAATTTCATATTCCCAGAGAGTCTATGACAGATTTGGGCAGAATCTGTGCACTGATGTCGGGGAGAAGCTTGTGTGTGGAGAGACAAGGAGAAGCAAACCCTTACACATGTACTTGAGGACACACAGGTAGACTTGGAGGCTGCTCTTAAATAACAAGTAAGAAATCTCCTGTTGGGGATGCCAGACTTCTCCTAAAGGAGCAGGTGGGGAAAATCCTGAAGACCGTTCAGCTCCCTATTTACTAAGGATAATGACGAGAACATGGTAGAGTAGTTCTCTAATGAGTAATCTAGATAATGGATAATGTAACTTTTTTTTTTTTTTTTTTTTGGATAGAGGCATTTTAGAACTTCCCTTACATGTTATTACCTTGAAAAAAAAAATCATTTAATAGGACTTCTTTCTTGGTTGTGCTTTTAGACATTTTTCCTAAGGCAGGCTTCCTGGCACAAAGTGCTTTCATTTAGGGTCTTTATTAGTAGCAAGAAGTCAGATAGTGTCCTAATTAAAATGCCCGAAGAGGAAAGAGGAGGCCGGAATGGTTCTGATTTTATGTAGGACTTGTTCTTTATTCTCTAAAATAGGATTTTTTTTTCCTCTCCAGGATTAAAGCTCTAGATTGCTTTAATCTAGAGAACACATTTGAAAGTATTCAAGGGCTTATTTATCTTTCGCTTTTATGACTGTTGTTATTGTGGGTTGCGAGTGAAACAGTTGCATTTGCTTTGCTTTTGGGTTTTGCAGTTACTTGTGGCCACACCTTTGTGAGTTTTTACTTTCTTAAAGATGTAGAAATATATTCTTTCACAGTGGCTGTCAGTGAATTAAAGTAATATTTCCTGTTTTTAAGCTTTTGTCCCCGTGTCTTGCCAAGGCCTCCCGAGAGCGGTGAAGCTAGGGGGTGAGGGAGGATGGATTAAATAGAATGCTGATGTTGGAAGGATTTTCTTTGTTGGTTTGATATTTTCTAGAAACAGCTTATTTCCTCTTTGCTATAGAAATGAAAAATAAGAAGCTGAAAGCTCCTAGCTCTGTTTACTATTAAGCTTGCTTAATGCCAAACAATGCATAGTTTCCCAAAGTATTTCAAGAGCCCCCTGACCCTACATATACATAAAGGTATATTTATTCACTTACGGAATACAATGTATAATACAATCAAATAGGGAGTAAACATTGCACAGGGACATAGGAAATTAGACTAAAGGGCCCTGGAAACCTCTGGTCCCCTCCAGATGTTAGCAGTGAGGGCACTGTGTTTCCAACGGGCTGTGATTTAGCCATTGTCACCCACAGGGAGACCAACTTGTCCCTGCTTGCCTGCGACTTTGAGCACTGACAGTGCCCCACCCTGGGAAACCCCTTAGTCTAAGGCGAGCTGGCATCCTAATGTCAGGGCAGGATCCAGAAACCTCGCTTCTGGACTTCTGGTTCAGTGCTCTCTGGACATATTTCTATTTTATTACATACTAGAGGGCTGGTGCATGAATTCGTGCACTGGTGGAGTCCAGCCAGCCAACCCTAATCAGGCAATGGGGCCTGGCTGGAAGAGGGGAGGGGCCACGGGCAGTTGATGGGCAGTTGGAGGGCCGGACCTGCCCCTCATTGCAGGGGGGTGGGCAATCAGGGGCAGGGCCAGCTGGGGGGAGGGGCCATGGGCAGTTGGCCGGCTGGCTCCACCCCCTGGCCAAACTCCAGGTTGAACTCCTGGTCGAAATCCCAATCAAGGGGGCAATTTGCATATTAGCCTTTTATTAGATAGGATTATTTTTCTTTCTTTTTTTGTTTTTCATTCTGTGACTAACATTTTAAAATACTTTCTTTGGGACACCTTGTTATAGGTCAAATAAGAAGCAGATGTTGCTTTTAGGCACCCTAGAAGTCCGGAAGGAGGGCTTGGGACCAGTGTACAGGGAAGCCAAATTTGCAGTAGAGTTTTACCCTGCAAACATTCTCAGTCATGTGCCCATGTACATATACACAAACAAGTGCAGGTGCCGGTTATCACTGAAGCATTTAGAAGGCACAGGTTGAGCCAATGTCGTAGCTGAGTGGGAAATAGCATGGACTGGAGCTTGAATGGAATGTTCTGGAGAAGTTCCATTTTGGTCAGCATGCATGCACTTCTCTGTTTGTTCAGCGTGTTTCATATGGTGTTTTGCTTCCTGCCTTTCCAGTCCCATCTGCACTCAGAGCACGGCCTATCAGCGCTGCCCCTGAGAGTAAATTAATGATTTACTGCTCTGTGCCCAGAGCCTTCCAAAGGCTCTGGGAGATGCCATCAGCAAAGCACAGTTATATTGTCCCATTCTGTGAACTAACGTTTGTTTCCTTTAGCAATTCCCCACTAAAGTTAAACATTTAGGTTTTCCCAATTCTATCCCAATAAGCACTTCTACTGTTAACCATCAGGGCAGGTGCAGTTGTCAGTTTATTAATTAGGGGATTGAACTTGATCATCTGCACCTATGCTGCAATTGAAACCAATTAATTTTAAGTAACATTAGCGAGAATCCTTCTATTATATTAAATATCAATACTGTACCAAGTACAGTGAAAGCATAAATGACATTTAGTGGATTCTAGAAGCCAGGGGGAATAAGTATAATTTGGGTTTCACCAACCAGGACTAAGTGATGCCGTGTCATTTATATCTGAAGTGTTGCTCTTGCTTTATGTATGCAACCTTGTATTAAAACTAGAACTGAAATTTCCCATGATTTTGTATCAGGTAGTGTTTTGTTTTGTTTTTTTCTCCCGTAGGTTTAATTTGTTTTGAAATAATTCTGTGACTCTGCCCATGACCCAGCAGGCCATCTGTAAGGTGTATTGTTATAGAGTGCTTTTGTTTTTTTAAGGAAAGGAAGCATACGTAATGACAGGTGTTTTTTCTGTATTACAAAGGACTTTTTTTTTTTTTTAGCTTACATATTGCTTTTTACTGTATGTTAACAAGCTTGACCTTGCAGCTGTGATGGAGTTCCGTGCTTTCCTTCTCCATGGACAGAGGGCAGCAGACCTTCACGTCCTTCGTAGAGAGCAGTATTTGAGTTACTGAAACTCTGATCCTAGAGAAATGTGTGTGTCCATATTTCT